ATATGGAGTGGAGGGTGTCACACTATGCCCTTATATGGGCTGTTATCGGCGCCGGAGGTGTGCGGAGCTATCGACGGGACATACGATCCCGGCGGCCGCGCATGCGCACTGCCTATTAATCTGTATTTAAACACATTCCATTTCAATAGAACTTTTAGTCTAAATCAGCTAATATCTTCAAAGGTGCATGAAAACAAGTATTACAGTTTGTTTCCTTAAAAAAGAAGACCAGAAGCCCACCCATTAGCAGTTTAAGACCATGACTAGAGATGAGCGAATCGAACTTGGCGAAGTGGAATTCGTTTCGAAGATTAGGAAAAATTTGATTCGCGCCGAATCCGAAAATTAGCAGACTTCGGATGCGCGAATCGAAATTTTCCAAAAATGGCGGCGACATGTGTGGCGACGGAGCGGGGATCTCTGGGAAGGCGCGCAGACAAGGCACGCTGACCCATAATGCATTCATTCATGACATGTGATCGCATTAGCCAATCAGCAGCCAGCCAGCCAGCACTGTGTAATGGTCGAGCTATAAATTGCGGCCATCTTAGAATTCTTCATTAGCCTCCGTCATTCAAGAGAGACAGACCTCTCTGTATTAGGGACAGAGTTAGGGCCAAAGAGACTTTAGGGCCACAGAATCGTTACTTAGGGACACAGAATTGTTACTCAGGGACACAGAATTCTTACTCAGGGACACAGAACTGTTACTCAGGGACACAGAATTGTTACTCAGGGACAGACACAGAATTGTTACTGAGGGACACAGAATTGTTACTGAGGGACACAGAATTGTTACTCAGGGACAGACACAGAATTGTTACTGAGGGACACAGAATTGTTACTGAGGGACACAGAATTGTTACTCAGGGACACAGAACTGTTACTCAGGGACACAGAATTGTTACTCAGGGACACAGAACTGTTACTCAGGGACACAGAATTGTTACTCAGGGACAGACACAGAATTGTTACTCAGGGACACAGAATTGTTACTCAGGGACACAGAATTGTTACTGAGGGACACAGAATTGTTACTGAGGGACACAGAATTGTTACTCAGGGAACACAGAACTGTTACTCAGTGACACAGAATTGTTACTCAGGGACACAGAACTGTTACTCAGGGACACAGAATTGTTACTCAGGGACACAGAACTGTTACTCAGGGACACAGAATTGTTACTCAGGGACAGACACAGAATTGTTACTGAGGGACACAGAATTGTTACTGAGGGACACAGAATTGTTACTCAGGGACAGACACAGAATTGTTACTGAGGGACACAGAATTGTTACTGAGGGACACAGAATTGTTACTCAGGGACACAGAATTGTTACTCAGGGGACACAGAATTGTTACTCAGGGACACAGAATTGTTACTCAGGGACAGGGACACAGAATTGTTACTGAGGGACACAGAATTGTTACTGAGGGACACAGAATTGTTACTCAGGGACAGACACAGAATTGTTACTGAGGGACACAGAATTGTTACTGAGGGACACAGAATTGTTACTCAGGGGACACAGAATTGTTACTCAGGGACACAGAACTGTTACTCAGGGACACAGAATTGTTACTGAGGGACACAGAATTGTTACTCAGGGACACAGAATTGTTACTCAGGGACACAGAACTTGTTACTCAGGGACACAGAATTGTTACTCAGGGACACAGAATTGTTACTCAGGGACACAGAATTGTTACTCAGGGACACAGAATTGTTACTCAGGGACACAGAACTGTTACTCAGGGACACAGAATTGTTACTCAGGGACACAGAAACTGTTACTCAGGGACACAGAATTGTTACTCAGGGGACAGAATTGTTACTGAGGGACAGAATTGTTACTCAGGGACACAGAATTGTTACTCAGGGACACAGAATTGTTACTGAGGGACACAGAATTGTTACTCAGGGACACAGAATTGTTACTCAGGGACACAGAACTGTTACTCAGGTGACACAGAATTGTTACTCAGGGGACACAGAATTGTTACTCAGGGACACAGAATTGTTACTCAGGGACACAGAACTGTTACTCAGGGACACAGAATTGTTACTCAGGGACAGACACAGAATTGTTACTGAGGGACACAGAATTGTTTACTGAGGGACACACAGAATTGTTACTCAGGGACACAGAATTGTTACTCAGGGACACAGAATTGTTACTCAGGGACACAGACACAGAGAATTGTTACTCAGGGACACAGAACTGTTACTCAGGGGACACAGAATTGTTACTCAGGGACAGGACACAGAATTGTTACTGAGGGACACAGAATTGTTACTGAGGGACACAGAATTGTTACTCAGGGACACAGAATTGTTACTGAGGGACACAGAATTGTTACTGAGGGACACAGAATTGTTACTCAGGGACACAGAATTGTTACTCAGGGACACAGAATTGTTACTCTCAGGGACACAGAATTGTTACTACTGTTACTCAGGGACACAGAATTGTTACTCAGGGACACAGAATTGTTACTCAGGGACAGACACAGAATTGTTACTGAGGGACACAGAATTGTTACTGAGGGACACAGAATTGTTACTGAGGGACACAGAATTGTTACTCAGGGACACAGAATTGTTACTCAGGGACACAGAATTGTTACTCAGGGACAGACACAGAATTGTTACTGAGGGACACAGAATTGTTACTGAGGGACACAGAATTGTTACTCAGGGACAGACACAGAATTGTTACTCAGGGACACAGAATTGTTACTCAGGGACACAGAATTGTTACTCAGGGGACACATTGTTACTCAGGGACACAGAATTGTTACTGAGGGGGACACAGAATTGTTACTCAGGGACACAGAATTGTTACTCAGGGACACAGAATTGTTACTCAGGGACACAGAATTGTTACTCAGGGACACAGAATTGTTACTCAGGGACAGGGACACAGAATTGTTACTGAGGGGACACAGAATTGTTACTCAGGGGACAGAATTGTTACTCAGGGAGGGACACAGAATTGTTACTCAGGGACACAGAATTGTTACTGAGGGACACACAGAATTGTTACTCAGGGGACACAGAATTGTTACTCAGGGACACAGAATTGTTACTCAGGGACAGACACAGAATTGTTACTGAGGGACACAGAATTGTTACTCAGGGACACAGAAATTGTTACTCAGGGACACAGAATTGTTACTCAGGGACACAGAATTGTTACTCAGGGACACACAGAATTGTTCAGGGACTCAGAATTGTTACTCAGGGACACAGAACATTGTTACTCAGGACACACAGAATTGTTACTCAGGGACAGACACAGAATTGTTACTGGGGGACACAGAATTGTTACTGAGGGACACAGAATTGTTACTACTCAGGGACACAGAATTGTTACTCAGGGACAGACACAGAATTGTTACTCAGGGACACAGAATCGTTACTCAGGGACACAGAATCGTTGAATTAAAGAGTATGTCAGACAACACGCAGAGGAGTGGCAGAGGAGGCAATGTTTCAGGAGCGAGCAGACGTGGCAGCAGAGGAAGGGGTCGAGAGGCAGCACTAGTCGCAGCCAGAGGCCAGTGCTCCCGGTGTCATCCAGCGGTCGTGTCTCCACCGACAACCCTGCCGTCATCGATTGGTTGGTCTCGGTCGGTCGTCTTCCTCTTCCCGGTCACCTCTGACACCTACAGCCAACGGTCGGTGGGTACGTCAGACACAACCGTTAGTTGGCATGGCCCGGGAGCAAGCCCAAGCCCACTGAAATCACGTGTCCTCTACCTGCCCCTGTCCCTTTGGTGTTCCCTCACCAAGCGAAGTATCGCATGCTGTGGCTGGCTCAGCCCCACTGTACAGTGAGGAAGAGCTAACAGAGGGCGGTCAGGGAACGGGGGGAGACATCCGCCTCTCTCAGCAGCCAGGGCGAAGAAGTACTGGCGAGGAGAGGGCTCGGTAGCCGGTCTAGAGACAGGTCTGTCTCCTGACCCCACACGCAGCCGAGGGGGCTAGTAGTGAGGCGGAGACCCTAATTGATGATGATGAGGCTGATCGCACTTGGCAGCCTCGTCGTCATCAGGCTTGCTTCCGCATCATCAGGGAGAAGAGGGTGCCAGCTTGGCAGCGAGCAAAACAGTCGGTGGGTTGCCCAGGAGGCAGGCAGCAGGGTCGCAGCAGTGTCAGTGGAGGCAAACGGCCACGGAGTAGAGCACCAGCTCCACTGCAGCCTACCACCACGGCCAGTAGTGGTGCCGGTGTGCACGGGAGGAATGTAGCAGTCAGCCAGTGAGGAGTAGCGGGGGCAAAGTTTCCTACTCGGCGGTGTGTGGCAATTTTTCGTCAAGCTGGGCCCGAGGAAGTAAACGTAGCCGTATATCCTATGTCGACTATGTGGCCAGAAAGTCAAGCGTGGCCAGGGGGCCCATGTCTCCATCGCCACACTCTGCCATGTGCCACTTTCAGGTCTCCTCACACTGCTGGTGGGTTCCATTTTGTCATAGGGTGCTGGCAGATTACGGGCCTCCCATTGCTGCTGCCAGGCCCGTAATCTGTCATGGGCCCCTGTACCGCCTCCTCATGCTGCTGCCAGGTCCCGAGTCTGTCATGGGTCCCTGTACGGCCTCCCATTGCTGCTGTCTCCATCGCCACACTCTGCCATGTGCCACTTTCAGGTCTCCTCACACTGCTGGTGGGTTCCATTTTGTCATAGGGTGCTGGCAGATTACGGGCCTCCCATTGCTGCTGCCAGGCCCGTAATCTGCCATGGGCCCCCTGTACCGCCTCCTCTCATGCTGCTGGCCCAGAGTGTGTCATGGGTCCCTGTACGGCCTCCCATTGCTGCTGTCTCCATCGCCACACTCTGCCATGTGCCACTTTCAGGTCTCCTCACACTGCTGGTGGGTTCCATTTTGTCATAGGGTGCTGGCAGATTACGGGCCTCCCATTGCTGCTGCCAGGCCCGTAATCTGTCATGGGCCCCTGTACCGCCTCCTCATGCTGCTGCCAGGCCCCAGATCTGTCATGGGTCCCTGTACGGCCTCCCATTGCTGCTGTCTCCATCGCCACACTCTGCCATGTGCCACTTTCAGGTCTCCTCACACTGCTGGTGGGTTCCATTTTGTCATAGGGTGTGTGCTGGCAGATTACGGGCCTCTCCATTGCTGCTGCCAGGCCCGTAATCTGCCATGGGGCCCCTGTACCGCCTCCTCATGCTGCTGCCAGGTCCAGAGTGTGTCATGGGTCCCTGTACGGCCTCCCATTGCTGCTGTCTCCATCGCCACACTCTGCCATGTGCCACTTTCAGGTCTCCTCACACTGCTGGTGGGTTCCATTTTGTCATAGGGTGCTGGCAGATTACGGGCCTCCCATTGCTGCTGCCAGGCCCGTAATCTGCCATGGGCCCCCTGTACCGCCTCCTCATGCTGCTGCCAGGTCCAGAGTGTCTCATGGGTCCCTGTACGGCCTCCCATTGCTGCTGTCTCCATCGCCACACTCTGCCATGTGCCACTTTCAGGTCTCCTCACACTGCTGGTGGGTTCCATTTTGTCATAGGGTGCTGGCAGATTACGGGCCTCCCATTGCTGCTGCCAGGCCCGTAATCTGCCATGGGCCCCTGTACCGCCTCCTCATGCTGCTGCCAGGGCCCGAGTCTGTCATGGGTCCCTGTACGGCCTCCCATTGCTGCTGTCTCCATCGCCACACACTCTGCCATGTGCCACTTTCAGGTCTCCTCACACTGCTGGTGGGTTCCATTTTGTCATAGGGTGCTGGCAGATTACGGGCCTCCCATTGCTGCTGCCAGGCCCGTAATCTGCCATGGGCCCCCCCCTGTACCGCCTCCTCATGCTGCTGCCAGGTCCAGAGTGTGTCATGGGTCCCTGTACGGCCTCCCATTGCTGCTGTCTCCATCGCCACACTCTGCCATGTGCCACTTTCAGGTCTCCTCACACTGCTGGTGGGTTCCATTTTGTCATAGGGTGCTGGCAGATTACGGGCCTCCCATTGCTGCTGCCAGGCCCGTAATCTGTCATGGGCCCCTGTACCGCCTCCTCATGCTGCTGCCAGGCCCAGAATCTGTCATGGGTCCCTGTACGGCCTCCCATTGCTGCTGTCTCCATCGCCACACTCTGCATGTGCCACTTTCAGGTCTCCTCACACTGCTGGTGGGTTCCATTTTGTCATAGGGTGCTGGCAGATTACGGGCCCCCCATTGCTGCTGCCAGGCCCGTAATCTGTCATGGGCCCCTGTACCGCCTCCTCATGCTGCTGCCAGGTCCAGAGTGTGTCATGGGTCCCTGTACGGCCTCCCATTGCTGCTGTCTCCATCGCCACACTCTGCCATGTGCCACTTTCAGGTCTCCTCACACTGCTGGTGGGTTCCATTTTTGTCATAGGGTGCTGGCAGATTACGGGCCTCCCATTGCTGCTGCCAGGCCCGTAATCTGCCATGGGCCCCTGTACCGCCTCCTCATGCTGCTGCCAGGCCCGTCCAGAGTGTCTCATGGGTCCCTGTACGGCCTCCCATTGCTGCTGCTGTCTCCATCGCCACACTCTGCCATGTGCCACTTTCAGGTCTCCTCACACTGCTGGTGGGTTCCATTTTGTCATAGGGTGCTGGCAGATTACGGGCCTCCCATTGCTGCTGCCAGGCCCGTAATCTGCCATGGGCCCCTGTACCGCCTCCTCATGCTGCTGCCAGGTCCAGAGTAAATCTGTCATGGGTCCCTGTACGGCCTCCCATTGCTGCTGTCTCCATCGCCACACTCTGCCATGTGCCACTTTCAGGTCTCCTCACACTGCTGGTGGGTTCCATTTTGTCATAGGGTGCTGGCAGATTACGGGGCCTCCCATTGCTGCTGCCAGGCCCGTAATCTGCCATGGGCCCCTGTACCGCCTCCTCATGCTGCTGCCAGGTCCAGAGTGTGTCATGGGTCCCTGTACGGCCTCCCATTGCTGCTGTCTCCATCGCCCACACTCTGCCATGTGCCACTTTCAGGTCTCCTCACACTGCTGGTGGGTTCCATTTTGTCATAGGGTGCTGGCAGATTACGGGCCTCCCATTGCTGCTGCCAGGCCCGTAATCTGCCATGGGCCCCCTGTACCGCCCTCCTCATGCTGCTGCCAGGTCCCGTAATCTGTCATGGGTCCCTGTACGGCCTCCCATTGCTGCTGTCTCCATCGCCATCGCCACACTCTGCCATGTGCCACTTTCAGGTCTCCTCACACTGCTGGTGGGTTCCATTTTGTCATAGGGTGCTGGCAGATTACGGGCCTCCCATTGCTGCTGCCAGGCCCGTAATCTGCCATGGGCCCCTGTACCGCCTCCTCATGCTGCTGCTGCCAGGTCCAGAGTGTGTCATGGGTCCCTGTACGGCCTCCCATTGCTGCTGTCTCCATCGCCACACTCTGCCATGTGCCACTTTCAGGTCTCCTCACACTGCTGGTGGGTTCCATTTTGTCATAGGGTGCTGGCAGATTACGGGCCTCCCATTGCTGCTGCCAGGCCCGTAATCTGTCATGGGCCCTGTACCGCCTCCTCATGCTGCTGCCAGGCCCGTAATCTGTCATGGGTCCCTGTACGGCCTCCCATTGCTGCTGTCTCCATCGCCACACTCTGCCATGTGCCACTTTCAGGTCTCCTCACTCACACTGCTGGTGGGTTCCATTTTGTCATAGGGTGCTGGCAGATTACGGGCCTCCCATTGCTGCTGCCAGGCCCGTAATCTGTCATGGGCCCCTGTACCGCCTCCTCATGCTGCTGCCAGGTCCCCGTAATCTGTCATGGGTCCCTGTACGGCCTCCCATTGCTGCTGTCTCCATCGCCACACTCTGCCATGTGCCACTTTCAGGTCTCCTCACACTGCTGGTGGGTTCCATTTTGTCATAGGGTGCTGGCAGATTACGGGCCTCCCATTGCTGCTGCCAGGCCCGTAATCTGCCATGGGCCCCCGTACCGCCTTCTCATGCTGCTGCCAGGCCCGTAATCTGTCATGGGTCCCTGTACGGCCTCCCATTGCTGCTGTCTCCATCGCCACACTCTGCCATGTGCCACTTTCAGGTCTCCTCACACACTGCTGGTGGGTTCCATTTTTTGTCATAGGGTGCTGGCAGATTACGGGCCTCCCATTGCTGCTGCCAGGCCCGTAATCTGCCATGGGCCCCCGTACCGCCTCCTCATGCTGCTGCCAGGTCCAGAGTGTGTCATGGGTCCCTGTACGGCCTCCCATTGCTGCTGTCTCCATTGCCACACTCTGCCATGTGCCACTTTCAGGTCTCCTCACACTGCTGGTGGGTTCCATTTTGTCATAGGGTGCTGGCAGATTACGGGCCTCCCATTGCTGCTGCCAGGCCCGTAATCTGCCATGGGCCCCTGTACCGCCTCCTCATGCTGCTGCCAGGTCCAGAGTGTGTCATGGGTTCCTGTACGGCCTCCCATTGCTGCTGTCTCCATCGCCACACTCTGCCATGTGCCACTTTCAGGTCTCCTCACACTGCTGGTGGGTTCCATTTTGTCATAGGGTGCTGGCAGATTACGGGCCTCCCATTGCTGTTGCCAGGCCCGTAATCTGCCATGGGCCCCCGTACCGACTCCTCATGCTGTGACGTTGCAACAACAAGGTGGAATTCAACCCTACATATGTTAGACCGCCTTTACGAACAGCGAAAGGCCATCACCGATTTCCTGATGTTACAAGCGGATAAAGGTACTCCCCTGTGTAACTTAGATGTCAGCCATTGGCAGCTCATGCGTGACACCTGCCGCTTGCTCAGGCCCTTTGAGGAGGCCACGCTATTCGTGAGTCGGCAGGACTATGGGATGAACGACGTCATTCCTCTGTTGCACGTCCTGGAACAAATGCTGTTAACAATGGCTGGTCAGGGTGCGGTAGACGTGGCGCACAGATCTCAATGCCACATGACCCCTGTGGGGGCAGGACAGGAAGAAGAGGAGGAGGTAGAGGAGGACATTGGTGCTCAGGAATTATTGAGTGAAATGGGTGGTTTTTCCACTCAGCGGACAGGAGTGGAGGAGCAGGAGCATCTGGTAGGAGGAGGAGACAGAGGACCCAGACGCACCGTGGCAGTATGCTGTGGAGATGGAGGCAGGGAGTCCCTCGCATTCCTTGGCACAAATGGCCCATAGCATGCTCGGTTGCTTGCGTAGCGACAGCCGAATAATAACCATCAGACAGAGGGATGACTTTTGGCTGTCCACCTTGTTGGACCCTCACTACCGATCAAAAATGGTGGCCTTTTTCACACCTGCTGAGAGGGAGGCCAAAATAACGTACTATAAAAACCACCTATGTAGTCAGTTGGTCTCTGCCTTTCTGCACCAACGTCCATCCTCAGACACTGTGGGCCCTGTGCGCTCGCGTTCCGCTGCCATGGCAGCAGGGGAGGGGTGGGGTGGTAGGAGCAGTGGCAGCTCCACCAGCAGCGGCTGCCTCAGTCTGCAGTCGATGATGAGTAGCTTTCTTCACCAGCGCAGTGAGGAAACTACTAACCAGCCGCAGCAGCAGCAGCATCAGGTGGACCTGGAGCAGGACCTCAAACAACAGGCTTGGGCCTACTTGGACAGCACCCTGCCAACCGAGGTAGACAATCCCCTTGACTACTGGGCAACGAAACTTGACCTTTGGCCCCAACTAGCTGAATTTGCCCTTGAAAGGCTGTCATGCCCGGCCAGTAGCGTGGCATCGGAGCGCGTGTTTAGTGCGGCAGGAGGTATTGTAACTCCGCGGAGGACACGACTGTCCACCCAAAGTGTGGAGAGACTCACGTTTGTGAAAATGAATCAGGAGTGGATTAGTCTGGATTTCAAACCACCAGTTCCTGACACAACTGACTAAATCCGCCATGAATCATGCCCCAAACATGTTATTATTTTTAACATAGGCCTCTGTATGGCCTTCAATTTAAGCTGCTTACGCTTCGCCACTCTGCCATGGGCCCTGTACCGCCTCCTCTTGCTGCTGCCAGGTCCGAGTGTGTGTCATGGGTCCCTGTACGGCCTCCCATTGCTGCTGTCTCCATCGCCACACTCTGCCATGTGCCACTTTCAGGTCTCCTCACACTGCTGGTGGGTTCCATTTTGTCATAGGGTGCTGTATGGCCTCCCATTGCTGCTGCCAGGCCCCGTAATCTGCCATGGGCCCCCGTACCGACTCCTCATGCTGCTGCCAGGCCCGTAATCTGTCATGGGCCCCTGTACCGCCTCCTCATGCTGCTGCCAGGTCCAGAGTGTGTCATGGGTCCCTGTACGGCCTCCCCCATTGCTGCTGTCTCCATCGCCACACTCTGCCATGTGCCACTTTCAGGTCTCCTCACACTGCTGGTGGGTTCCATTTTGTCATAGGGTGCTGGCAGATTACGGGCCTCCCATTGCTGCTGCCAGGCCCGTAATCTGCCATGGGCCCCCGTACCGACTCCTCATGCTGCTGCCAGGCCTGTAATCTGTCATGGGCCCCTGTACCGCCTCCTCATGCTGCTGCCAGGTCCAGAGTGTGTCATGGGTCCCTGTACGGCCTCCCATTGCTGCTGTCTCCATCGCCACACTCTGCCATGTGCCACTTTCAGGTCTCCTCACACTGCTGGTGGGTTCCATTTTGTCATAGGGTGCTGTATGGCCTCCCATTGCTGCTGCCTCCACCGCCACACTGTGGCTCCACACTCTGGTTTTGGCCCCGTGACTGCCCAAATGAGTGAAGTGTGCGGTGATTCTAAGATCGACGGCACTCATCTGCATGTCATACTGACTGACAGTATTATTTCTCTTCCCCAACAGACTCCAAGGGCATTTAAATTAAAGGTACAGTGTTCTGCACTAATATAAAGGCTCTCTGAAGCCTAGAAACACCCTTTTTATAAGTTAAATTCGCAGCGAATATATTCGACTCGAATCAAATTTATTCCTCGAATTCGCCGAATCAGCCGAATCGAATTTTTGAATACTTCGCTCATCTCTAACCATGACCATTGATGTAAATCAACATTTTTTGGTTGTCTGTTCAATGTGCAAAATACCTGTAGATCCTGCCCGAAATTTAGTAAGTTGCCAACTTCCTGTGCATTATTTGCACTCTCATCAACTACTTTGTGCCTAAATATCTATAAGGACTACAGAACCCCTCCCTTTATACTAGATGTTCTGTGATCCATCCTAGGACTACACCATTGTTTCTCTATAAATACAGTACAGTGAGTGAACTTTGTCAACCTAGGACAGGAGGGGTGCTATAGGCAAGATCACAGGAGGAAATAAAGGAAGATTCCTGCAAAAAGAAACCTAATATGACCAACACATCTAAGAACTGGTGAGCTGCAATATTACATCTTTGTTTTTTGGGTTTAGATAAGCTTTAGTTTTAGGGGGAGATAAGGAGTTAAGTTATTATTTTTGCAAATGTTCATGAAATTCTCAGATATTAGTTAGATTTTTTTTCTCAATGTTTTTATCTGCTTTGTCACACACAGCTGTATATTTGTAGAAGTGTCAGACAGTATACAGACAGACCGTAATTAGTGTTTTCATCTCTGGAACTGAGCACTTTACCGTAGTTATACATATTTATAAGAGGCATATTTTTGCATCACATCATTAACTTTTTTCTTTT